CTAAACGGCCTTGGGCGTTTGCTAAACAGCCCTGCCTCGTTCGCTTCCTTCCTCAGGTGCGTTCACTGTAAACGGCCTGGCGCGTCGGGGTGAGCATTTCGAGGGTGGACTTTTTCTGCTCTCTGCACGAGTTGCCACCGAAGGTGCGGTTGTGGGAGGTGTGAGCAGTCCGAGCCGTCTGGGAGTCGATGAGATGGCGCCGATGTGGCGTCGATGTGGCGTCGATTTAGCGTCGACTCAGCGTCGATTGGCGCGTCGATGCGCAGGAGCCGACGAGATGGCGTGGGAGGCGCCCGCGAGCTCCCACCGAGGGGGTGCGGTGGTGGGAGGCAGGGGCGGGGAGCAGGGGAGAGAGCTGGCTCGCTCGCCTGAGGTCGAGGTGTGCCGGCCCAGGCTTCGGTCGGGCCTGTCCCTCTGCATGGGGGAATGCTCAAAGATAGTCAAACAGTAGCCTGGGGACGTTTTGTTTGAATACTTTTGAGCATGTTTGAATCTCTTTTTCAATTATTCCCAACCCTCCTTGGTTGGGTATTCGTTTTGAATAGAGGGGTGTGGTCGCGTCCTTCTCCCGCCTCCCGCCTCCCGCCTCCCTCTTGTCTCCTCTCGCCGTCCCTGGGGGGCTGCGATCTGTGAAACTGTCGCCACTTTCGAGGGCTGCTGGGGAGGCCAGAAGAGAGGGTACTCACCGCGGATCCAAACGGGACCTCGCCGTCCCTGGGGGGCTGCGATCTGTGAAACTGTCGCCGCTTTCGAGGGCTGCTGGGGAGGCCAGCAGAGAGGGTACTCACCGCGGATCCAAACGGGACCTCGCCGTCCTTGGGTGGCTCCGTTCTGTGAAACTGCCGCCACTTTCGAGGGCTGCTGGGGAGGCCAGCAGAGAGGGTACTCACCGCGGATCCAAACGGGACCTCGCCGTCCTTGGGTGGCTGCGATCTGTGAAACTGTCGCCTCTTTCGAGGGCTGCTGGGGAGGCCAGTAGAGAGGGTACTCACCGCGGATCCAAACAGGACCTCGCCATCCCTGGGGGGCTGCGATCTGTGAAACTGTCGCCACTTTCGAGGGCTGCTGGGGAGGCCAGCAGAGAGGGTACTCACCGCGGATCCAAACAGGACCTCGCCATCCCTGGGGGGCTGCGAGAAACTGTCGCCACTTTCGAGGGCTGCTGGGGAGGCCAGCAGAGAGGGCACTCACCGCGGATCCAAACGGACTCGCCGTCCCTGGGGGGCTGCGATCTGCGAAATCGCCACTTTCGAGGCTGCTGGGGAGGCCAGCAGAGAGGGTACTCACAGCGGACCAAATGGGACCTCGCCGTCCCTGGGGGGCTGCGACGAAACTGTCGCCACTTTCGAGGGCTGCTGGGGAGGCCAGCAGAGAGGGTACTCACCGCGGATCCAAACAGGACCTCGCCATCCCTGGGGGGCTGCGATCTGTGAAACTGTCGCCACTTTCGAGGGCTGCTGGGGAGGCCAGCAGAGAGGGTACTCACCGCGGATCCAAACAGGACCTCGCCGTCCCTGGGGGGCTGCGATCTGCGAAACTGTCGCCACTTTCGAGGGCTGCTGGTGGGTCCTGCGGAGTGAGGCGCCGCGCGGACCTGAGCGGGACCTCGCCGTCCCTGGGGGGCTGCGATCTGCGAAATTGTCGCCACTTTCGAGGGCTGCTGGTGGGTCCTGCGGGGTGAGGCACCGCGCGGACCTGAGCGGGACCTCGCCGTGCCTGGGGGGCTGCGATCTGCGACATTGTCGCCACTTTCGAGGGCTGCTGGTGGGTCCTGCGGAGTGAAGCACCGCGTGGACCTGAGCGGGACCTCGCCGTCCCTCTGGGGCTGCGATCTGCGAGACTGCCGCCATTTTCGAGGGCTGCTGGTGGGTCCTGCGGAGTGAGGCACCGCGCGGACCTGAGCGGGACCTCGCCGTCCCTGGGGGGGCTGCGATCTGCGAAATTGCCGCCACTTTCGAGGGCTGCTGGTGGGTCCTGCGGAGTGAGGCACCGCGCGGACCTGAGCGGGACCTCGCCGTCCCTGGGGGGCTGCGATCTGCGAAACTGTCGCCACTTTCGAGGGCTGCTGGTGGGTCCAGCGGAGCGAGGCACCAGGCAGATCTGAGCGGGACATCGCAATCCCCACGAATGCCGCTCGCAGAAGTGTATGCGCCCATGTCACGCCATCCCCTCCGTATCACGACTCCCAATCTGCTCATGCCCCGCATTGCGCAGGGGTTGGGTACGCCGCCAGGGTCATTTTTCTGCTCGTCCTCCACGCTCCCCCCAGCGTTGGGGACGCGCCCGACGGCAGCCCAGGCACCTCCCATCGCCCGGCCTCCGGGCGAGCCCCGTGCCCGCGCGCCTGCCCCTGGCACGCGGCGGGGCGGGCCGAGCACCTCCTCGCTCCTGGCCCGGACCCCCTCGGGTCGGGACAGAACCCACGACGGGAGGTCCTCCGCTGTTTCGGGGGTGGACAGAACCCCCAATAGTGACACGTCGATTAGTGAATTGTCAGTTTTCGGTTTTCGAGAGGGCGCCGTGACCGTTATTTTCCAGGCTTGCGCCCGCCAGGTTTGGGCCCGAAGTCGTTTTCACTAAACCACGTTTTACTAAAGGGGGGTCTGTCCATCCCCGACTGTTGCCGGCCTCCGGGGGCCGGGCCTCGGGGCCGTCAAGCAACGACTCGGGACGCAACACCGGCCCCGGGGGAGAGGTCCAGACCTCGGGGGGTTGGCGTCGTGGGAAAAGTGACGTCGTCGGGGGTCTTGGGAGAAGGGTCGGGTGCCAGGCCGCACGAAGATGGCCAGAGGGGTAAACTCGCAGATGAGATGAGGTGGGGTCATGCGCAGGGCGCTGTCGAAATCTTTTTTTCCCAACAATCCTGTGGTGTTGGGTCCTCGTTTTGAAGAGACGGTGCCCCGCGTCTCCTTCCTCTCCTCCTCCGCCTCCTCTCCTCTCCTCCTCTCCTCCCCTCCTCTCCTCCTCTCCTCTTCACCCACCCAGTACACCCGCTCCATTTCGTGGCTCCATAGGGAGCTCCACCGAAGGCCCCAGTGCCCGCGCCCGCATGCGTCACCCACACCCATTTCGGCACACCCCTCACACGTTTCGTGGCTCCATAGGGAGCTCCACCGAAGGCCCCAGTGCCCGCGCCCGCATGCGTCACCCACACCCATTTCGGCACACCCCTCACACGTTTCGTGGCTCCATAGGGAGCTCCACCGAAGGCCCCAGTGCCCGCGCCCGCATGCGTCAACCACACCCATTTCGGCACACCCCTCACACGTTTCGTGGCTCCATAGGGAGCTCCACCGAAGGCCCCAGTGCCCGCGCCCGCATGCGTCACCCACACCCATTTCGGCACACCCCTCACACGTTTCGTGGCTCCATAGGGAGCTCCACCGAAGGCCCCAGTGCCCGCGCCCGCATGCGTCACCCACACCCATTTCGGCACACCCCTCACACGTTTCGTGGCTCCATAGGGAGCTCCACCGAAGGCCCCAGTGCCCGCGCCCGCATGCGTCACCCACACCCATTTCGGCACACCCCTCACACGTTTCGTGGCTGCATAGGGAGCTCCACCGAAGGCCCCAGTGCCCGCGCCCGCATGCGTCACCCACACCCATTTCGGCACACCCCTCACACGTTTCGTGGCCCCATAGGGAGCTCCACCGAAGGCCCCAGTGGCGGCGCTCACATGCGCATGCGTCCCGCACACCCATTTCGGCACATCCCTGACAGGTTTCGTGGCCCCATCATCCACCGGAGGCCCCAGTGGCGGCGCTCACATGCGTCACCCACACCCACCCAATTCGGCACACCCCTCACACGTTTCGTGGCCCCATAGGGAGCTCCACCGAAGGCCCCAGCGGCCGCGCTCACATGCGTCCCCGCCACCCATCCCGGCACGCCCCTCACAACAACAGGTTTCGTGGCCCCATGGGGAGCTCCACCGAAGGCCCCAGTGGCACCGCCCGCATGCGTCACCACCCGCACCCAATTCGGCACACCCCTCACACGTTTCGTGGCCCCATAGAGAGCTGCACCGAAGGCCCCAGTGGCGGCGCTCACATGCGTCCCCGCCACACATCCCAGTACACCCCTCACGCGCTTCGTGGCCCCATAGGGAGCTCCACCGAAGGCCCCAGTAGCGGCGCTTACATGCGTCTCCGCCACCCATCCCGGCCCCCCCCCCCGCAGCAGCATCATGTTTCGGGGACCCATAGGGAGCTCCACTGGAGGCCCCAGTGGCGGCCCGCACATGCGTTTCCGCCACCCATGTCGGCACGCCCCGCGCGTGTTTCATGTCCCCATAGGGAGCTTCGCCGAATGCCCCAGTGGCACCCATCTCGGCACACCCCTCACACGTTCCGTAATCCTATGGGGAGTTCCATTGAAGATGAAACCCGCAGCTGCGGTACTGACAACTGCATATGGTTGGGTTCTTCGCCAGGCTAATTGTTTTTCCTCCTCCCTTATCCTCCTCTGTTTGCTCCTCCCTTCCCCCGGGCCCGTCCCCTTGCCTGAGCTCCCCCCCTGTTCCTTCCATACACTGCTTTTTTTGAGCTCCTCTCCTATAGTTCATCCCTTCATCAGCTCCCCTCGCTCCTCGCAGTCGCTCTCTTGGAGGGTTGGTGGGGAGAGGATTTGTGCGGGGCAGTGAGCACGGGGAGAGAGGGGAGGGGGAGGAGGAGGACAAGGAGGTGGAGGAGGAAGGGAGGAGGGGAAGGAGGACGATGAGGATGAGGATGATGAGGAGGAGGAGCGAGCGGTGGACGGAACGGCGGTGGAAGGGGAACGATGAGGACGAGGAGTCATGTGCAGGGATGGATGGGGCAGCGGGGAGGGGGAGGGGGAGACCCCCTTTCCCCACCCCCCCCTCCCTCCCTCTTTTCCCCCCTCCTTTTCCCCCTTCTCCCCCCCCTTTCCCCCCCCCCTCCGAGCCTCCGAGCCTCCGAGCTCCTGGTCGCCCGCCAGCGGTCGATCGATCCGGGCGCCGCCCGCCGGCCGCACTCCAGGCGTGCCGCAAGGTCATCGTGCAGGCCGACGGGGGCACCCTGTGGAGGCCCGGGCTTTTGCTTTTTGTTGGGATGGGCGCCGGGATCGAGGATAGGGGTGCTTGAAGGGGAGGAGGAGGAGGAGGAGGAGGAGGAGGAGGAGGGAGGAGGAGGAGGAGGAGGAGGAGGAGGAGGAGGAGGAGGAGGAGGAGGAGGAGGAGGGGAAGAGGAGGAGGAGGAGGAGGAGTGGGAGGAGGAGGTACGACGCTATGAGCCCCGCCCAAAGTCTGCCCAACGTTGAAGGAGGAGGACGACGAGGAGACGGAGGAGCAGGAGGAGGAGGAGAAGGAGGAGGGAGGGAGGGGAGGGAGGAGTAGTAGAGAGGGATGGAGGGAGGGATGATGAGGAGGACCAGTGTACCCAAGACTCATCAATAATGTTGGAATACATCATCCCTCCAAGCTTCCTTTTTATAGACCCCATAGAAGGATTCAGGAAAAGGAGGAGGAGGAGAAAATGAGGAGGAGGAGGAGGAGGAGGAGGAGATCGAGGAGGAGGAGAAGAGGAGGAGGAGGAGGAGGAGGAGGAGGCGGAAGAGGGATAATGTCCCCCAAAGCGGGGGCGCCAGCGGCGGCCAGCGGCGGCCGGCGGCGGCCCGCGGCAGGGACGTCGTGTCCGCCGTGATCGCGCTGGTGCTCGACGCTCGGTCGGCGCGCGCGCGGCTCTTCCGCGCGCCGCGCGCCTTGCGTCTCGCGTCCAGTCTTCAGTCGGGCACGCGTCGACTCTCCAGTCTTGAGTCGCGGGGGAATATATTCAACCAAAACATATGGGACGATTTAGGTTTTTGTGTTGGTGTCATTTTTTGATTATTTATTTGCATATGGTTTCGTGAGGAGGGAAATTCTCTTGACGAAAGCCAGCCATATGCAGCTGCGAGTGCCGCATTGTGGGTACCGCTTTCGGTGGAGCTCCCTATGGGGCCGCGAAGCGTGTGAGGGGTGCGCCGACATCGGTGGCGCGGACGCAGGTGGACACCGCCACTGGGGCCTTCGGTGGAGCTCCCTATGGGGCCACGAAGCGTTGTCCTGGGTGGCGGAGACGAATGCGAACTGCGCCATTGGGACCTGCGTTGGAGCTCCTTATGGGGCCACGAAGCGCTGTCATGGCTGGTGGGGACGCGTGCGAACTGCGCCAGTGCCGCCTTCGGTGGAACTCTCTACGGGGCCACGAAGCGCTGTCCTGGGTGGGGGAGACGCATGCGAACGGCTCTACTGGGACCTTCGGTGGGGCTCCATGTGGGGCCACGAAGCGTGTCCTAGGTGGGGGAGACGCATGCGAAAGGCGCCGCTGGGGCTTTCGGTGGAGTTCCCTATGGGGCCACGAAGCGCCGTCCTGGGTGGCGTTGGCCACTGGGGCTTTCGGTGGAGCTCCCGATGCGGCCACGAAGCGCTGTCCTGGATGGCGTTGACGCGTGCGGACCGTGCCACTGGGGCCTCCCTCGGGCGTCTCGCCGGTTCTGCGGGCTTTCCTCACGGGCGCTCCGGGGGGCACCGTCACGCAGACGGCCCGGGACAAGTGGAGCTGGTCTTGGGGGGAAGCCCCCGAGTCCAGGGCCCGTTTCCCACAGCACCCGTTTTTTGCATTCGTGGAGGATGAAGAGGAGGGTATAGTATCATCGAGGATAAAAGAGGATCGATCCCACAACTCATCGAGGAGAAAATATCATCGAGGATAAAAAATCATCGAGGGTAGAAGAAGATATCAGAATTCATTCCCCCAATTATCGAGGAGAAAAAACCGTAACCCTAATAACACGATGAAGGCGCGGCCTCACTGAGGTCACCGTCTTTGCATTCGGGGAAATAAAAAAGCTGTGTGGTTTGGTTCGATGCGTCTGCAAAAAAGACCTCCTATATCCCTAAACGTTCCAGGCCCTCCTAACTTGGGCCCCCTTCCAACGGGTTATGGGGTCCCTGTATGCCGGATCATTCATGCTGATGCCATATGGGGCATTCCAGAAAGACGCTTCGTTCGTCGTCGACTGGGCAACGCCTGGTGGCGCGTCCGGTGCCGCCCCTGGCGCGCTCCGCGCGCCAGGGGGGGGTCCAGCGCCAATGGGGGGGTCCGGAGGTCCTCCGGAAGTTTGTGCTTATATTCTTTTTTCTTCTTTTGGCCACCGTCGCCGGTGTCGGGGGCCCACCAACGCTGCTCTGGGGGTGGGATTCCCAGGCCCCCTCGTGTTTTGAGCGCCTCCCCCTGCTTGGCAGCATTCTTGACTGCTGCCCACTCTGACCGCCTGCCACCTGGTCGGTCCGAAGCCCAACCAAGCTGCTCCTGCCCGCCCTTCCACTTGACTTTTCTGCCGCTCTCTGTGTCCTACCGCTATCTCCTCAGCGGCCCGAGGCCCCCCCCTTCTCGCTCGCCGCCTTGTCCCCACCACCGCCCTGCCGCACAGCAGGCGCTCCCCTCCCCGGGTCTGCCCTGGCGCCCTGTCTGGGCACTGCCCGCAGGTCTGAGGCCTCCGCCGTCTCCGTCTTGGCTCTCCCTGTCTCTCCGCGTCTGTCTCCCAATCTCCGTCTCCGCCTGCATCTCTGTCTCCCTTTCCCTCGCACAATTCAAATATACACTCCAACTCGTGCGTGTAGGTATATGTATGTCAGCCAGCGTGGGCCCCCAAAAAAGCGTGTGTTCTAGCATACTCTGTGGTGCAATGCATGCGGCGCGATCCATTTAGCGTGATATATGTGGTGTACGCTATGTGGTGAAATCCATGTGGTGTAAGCTTTGTGATGCAATCTATGTGGTGCAATTCACTTGCCGAACTTGAAGTTATCAACTCCACTGCTCGGGCAATCATCCCACCCATCCACCCGCAACTTGGTTCGCAAAACCCATGCGGGACCGAGCACAGATATCGCTCCGGGGTCGTCTTGGAGCCCTCGGGGGCGTCTCAAGAGCGCCCCAAGAAGGCCAAAGAAGCAAGACGGCCGACGACGACGACGACGACGGCAGCGACGCCGACGACGCCGACGTCGACGACGACGAAGACGACGACAACGACGTCGACGACGACGAAGACGACGACGCCGACGCCGACGACGACGACGACGAGGAAGGAGGGAGGACGACGACGGCGACAACGACGACAACGACGACAACGACGACAACGAGGGAGGAGGGAGGACGGCGGCGGCGCGAACGACGAAGAAGGAGGAAGGACGGCGACGCCGACGACGACAACGACGAGGGAGGAGGGAAGAAGACGACCAGACAACGACGACAACGACGACGTCGACGACGGCGACGAAATACGAGGGACGACGACGAGACGCCGACGACGGACGACGACGACGACGAGGGAGGAGGAGGAAGGACGACCACGGCGACAACGACGACGGAAACGACCACGACGCCAAAGAGGATGACGACGACGAACACGAGGAAAGACAGGACGACGTAGGCGACGACGACGACGACGCGGGAGGAGGGAGGACGGCGACGACGACGACGACGACGACGCCGCAAGAGCGCGCGCGCACGCTTTTGTTGAAAATCCGTGTTGCGAAACCTTGTGTTTTTGTAGTTTTTTTTTGACGCGCGATTTTGAAATCCTTCCGAAACCGATGGGTTTTGAAGGATTTCGGCATACGCGCGCGACGACGCGCGCGTCTGCACTTCGTTTCATTTTTTGCAGAGGATTTTCGCGACGGCACACGCGCAAGGGCGTTCGACAGATTTTGACATGCGCGCGCACCACGCCCGCTTGATAGCATTTTGTGAACATTTTGGAAAAAACCAATGGTTTTTCCCAAGATTCCGCAAGAGCTCGCGCGTAAGCTTTTTTAGCAAATCAGTGTTACGAAACCCTGTGGTTTTGTAGGTTCTTTTTTTCCCAACCATCCTGTGGTGTTGGGTCCTCGTTTTGAAGAGACGTCGCCCCGCGTTCCTTCCTTCCCGCTGCCCCCCTCCCCGTGGGTGTGCCCGCATGCGTCCCGCACACCCATTTCGGCACACCCCTCACACGTTTCGTGGCCCCATAGGGAGCTCCACCGAAGGTCCCAGTGGGTGTGCCCGCATGCGTCCCGCACACCCATTTCGGCACACCCCTCACGCGTTTCGTTGCCCCATAGGGAGCTCCACCGAAGGTCCCAGTGGGTGTGCCCGCATGCGTCCCGCACGCCCATTTCGGCACACCCTCACACGTTTCGTGGCCCCATAGGGAGCTCCACCGAAGGTCCCAGTGGGTGTGCCCGCATGCGTCCCGCACACCCATTTCGGCACACCCCTCACACGTTTCGTGGCCCCATAGGGAGCTCCGCCGAAGGTCCCAGTGGGTGTGCCCGCATGCGTCCCGCACACCCATTTCGGCACACCCCTCACACGTTTCGTGGCCCCATAGGGAGCTCCGCCGAAGGTCCCAGTGGGTGTGCCCGCATGCGTCCCGCACGCCCATTCGGCACACCCCCGCACGTTTCGTTGCCCCATAGGGGCTCCACCGAAGGTCCCAGTGCTGTGCCCGCATGCGTCCCGCACACCCATGTCGGTACACCTTCACACGTTTCGTGGCCCCATAGGGAGCTCCACCGAAGGTCCCAGTGGGTGCTTTCCCGAAGGTCCCAGGTGGGTGTGTGGGTGGGCCGCATGCGTCCCGCACAACCCATTTTCGGCACACCCCTCACACGTTTCGTGGCCCCATAGGGAGCTCCACCGAAGGTCCCAGTGGGGGTTCGTGCCTCCCCACACCCATTTCGGCACACCCTCACACGTTTCGTGGCCCCATAGGGAGCTCCACCGAAGGCCCCAGTGGCCGCATGCGTCCCGCACACCATTTCGGCACACCCCTCACACGTTTCGTGGCCCCATAGGGAGCTCCACCGAAGGCCCCAGTGGCTGCCGTCCGCATGCGTCCCGCACACCCATTTCGGCACACCCCTCACACGTTTCGTGGCCCCATAGGGAGCTCCACCGAAGGTCCCAGTGGGTGTGCCCGCATGCGTCCCGCACACCCATTTCGGCACACCCCTCACACGTTTCGTGGCCCCATAGGGAGCTCCACCGAAGGTCCCAGTGGGTGTGCCCGCATGCGTCCCGTCGTCTCTCTGCCCAGCGGCAAGAGCCTTGCCCGCTATCAGCCAGCCAGCTAGCTCTTTTTGCTCCGCGCAGTGGACGACCCGCGCGCGTCGCTGGGACCCCTCCGGGGCGACCTGCGCGCGTCGCGGGGACTCCGCGCTGCGCTGCGCCCGCAACCTTGGACTTTTGAGTGCGCGGGCAAAGAGGGAGTAAAGGAAGGGGAGGAAGCGGGCGCGATCCTCGCCGGTGGGCGCGCCGACATTGGCGTCGCGGCGCGCGGGCGATGCCGTCGGGGAGTCCCGGGGAAGCTCCTTGCGGCGGCCACGCCCAGCGTCACGAGTACTCAGAGGCAGACATTGTCAAACTATTGACATTCATACACAATTGCGCCACGCTTTGTCATATTCGCATTCATGCACGTAGACTCGTTCGCACGCAGATTCATTCACAGTCAGACGCACGCGCGCAGATTCACCCGCGCTCAGTCTCCCTACGTACTCAGATCAATCGTTTTCGTTCGCGTTGTGTACCACGCCACTCATGTCGGCACACCCCTAGCACGGTTCGTTGCCTCATAGGGATCGCCACCGAAAAAGTGAATCACTATTGCGGTACTCACACCTGTATATGGTTGGG